CAAATGCTCTGAAGATTTTCCTTATCTCTGCAACTAGAGATGATCTCATCTCCATTAAACTTGATAATTTTCTCATTGGATTTTTTTTTTTTTTGCATTCTGTCTTGAATGTTAGTCATTTGTGTATTTTATGTATTATATTTGTATTATTTATGTGTTATTTTAGATGAAGAGTTCCTTGAAGGTAAGGGAGGTCATCAACTCTGTACTTAACTCTTATCCTTGGCACCTATGATGGACATTCAATAATTATTTACTATTTTTATTATTATAAAGCCACAAAATATGACCAGTTTCTCAGGGTAGTTTCTCTGTGGAGAGTATTGCTCTCTAGTCCAAACCTGCATACTGAATTTTAAAATAGTGATATTTTAAATTTATTCTGCATTATAAGGCTTGGGATGAGGAAAAAATTATAATAAAATTTGAAAGATTGTGGTATTTTTGTCTAAATCTTTCCATCAAATACATCACCTTGATTTATTCTGAACCTTCTCTGAGTCTGTGAGAGAGAATGACTTAGAAAATATCTGAATACTCAGAGAAAAATCTTCTTTTTCTATTGGAAATGTTTGCATCCTATTATAACTTTATAATGTTTTCCAGTGAGTTTTAAAAGTAACTTTTAAAGTAATCTTCACATGATGGTTCTTAGTTTTAGTGGAAATATTATTAAATTGGAGTAGTAACTAATCCATACTGTGCATCCTTTGGGGATAATAGTGTGCATCCTTAACTATCACATTGTAATTTGAACAAACATACCACTTTTCATATGGTGCAACAATCTCCCAATAGTGTAATTGCATTAACACCTTTTTTCACCTTTTGTACTATTTTCATATTTTCAACCTCTCGATATGAAATAAATCACGATACATTGTTGTCACTTTTGCTTTAAACCGTGAATTGACATTTAAAGAATGTAAGAAAAGAAATTAAAAAAAGTTTACTCTTTTTTAAAGATATTTACCATTGCCAGTGCTCTTCCTTCCTAATGATAGATCCAAATTGTATCTAGTACCATTTTCCTTCAGCTGGAGGAATTGTCATTGTCATTTCCTGTAGCAGAGGTCTGCTGACAACACGTTCTATCAGCTTTTTATTTGAAGGTAGGTTATTTCACCTGCACTTCAGAAGATGTTTTTACCAGATATGGAATGCTTGATTGAGAGGGGTTTTTTTGTTGTTGTTTTTTTTTCCTTTTAGCATTTTAAAGATGTGGTTCCATTGTCTTCTGGATTCTACTTTTTCTAATGAGAAGTAAACCCTAATTATTATTGTTACCTTTATGGGATGAATCTTTTTAAACTGTGGTTGCTTTTAAAATTTTCTTTACATCTTTCGTTTTTAGAAGCTTCCTTATGATGTTGTCAGGTGTGATTTTATTTGTTTTATCCTGCTTGGGTTTCACTGAGTATCCTGGATTGGTAGGTTGCTGATTTAGATCAAATTTAGAAATGTTTTTAAAAAGATTTTATTTATTTATTTGACAGAGAGAGAGATAGCGAGAGCAGGAACACGAGCAGAGACACAAGCAGGGGGAGTGGGAGAGGGAGAAGCAGGCTTCCCACCGAGCAGAGAGCCTGATGTGGGGCTTGATCCCAGGACCCCAGGATCATGACCTGAGCTGAAGGCAGATGCTTAACCGACTGAGCCTCCCAGGTGCCCCAAATTTAGAAAATTTTTTGTCCTTATTTCTTCAAGTATAATTTTCTGCCTGACTCTTTCTCTCCTTTCCTTCTGGGACTCCTATTGCATGTGTATTAGACTGCTTGATATTATTTGACAGGCAATTCAGGTTCTGTTTATTTTTAAAAAGTCTTTTCTCAGTTCGGATGACTTCTATTGACCAATCTTCAAATTCACTAATCCTTTTTCCTGTTATGGCCAAACATCTTTTAATGCCATCCAATGAATGTTTTATTCCAAATATTGCATTTTTTAGTTCCAATATTTCCATTTAGTTCTTTTCTTTCTCAGGTTTTCTACAAATTCCGTATATCTCCTAAAATTCCCTATCTCCTCACCTCTCCTACTAATCTTTTCCTATAGGTGCTTTAAACATTTCAGTTATTTCAAAATCTCTTTCTGCTAATTCCAACATCTACACCATCTATTAGCCTGTTTCTATTGGCTAATTTTTCTCTTGATTATGAGCTACATTTAGTGATTTTTAATTGCATAGTTGGTATTGTGGTAGTGCATTATAGACAACCTGAATTCTGTTATCTTTCTCTGAAGAGTGTGTGATTTTGTTCTAACCCTAACCCTAATCCTAACCCTAAAGATCCCCTTGAGCTGGGAAATCTTGGTTTTAGCCTTTCTTAGAGTAGGTTTATTTTAGTTTTGTCATTAGTCCCAAGGAAAATCTCTTAGTCTGAGGATAAAGACTTTTTTCTTCAGGGTCTATTTAATAGCTTAATTGAAGTATAATTTCCATACCATAAAACCCATCTATTGTTAAGTGCATAATTCAATGATTTTTCATAGTAAATTATGTTACCATGTACAGTTCAGTGGCATTAAGTACATTCACATTTTTGGGCAATTATTTCCACCATCCATCTCCAGAACTCCTTTATATTTTGCAAAACTGAAATTCTATACCTGCCAAACCATAATTCCCCATTCCTCTCTCCTCCCAGGCCCAGAAAACCATCATTTTACTTTTTGTCTCTGTGTATTTGATGCTCTAGATACCTCATATAAATGGAATCATACAATATTTGTCCTTTTGTGACTCGTTTATTTCACTTAGCAAAATGTCCTCAAGGTTCATCTATGTTGTAGCACATGTCAGAATTTCCTTCCTTTTAAAGGCGAATAATTTCTATACATATATACATATATATATGACATTTTGTTTATCCATATATGTATGAATAATTCATATATATGACATTTTATTTATCCACAATCCAGTTTTAGAACATTTCCATCACTTCAAAAAGCTGCCTTGTGCCTGTTTACAGTTAATCCCCACCCCTACCCTCAGCCCTAGGCAACCACTGATCTGCTTTCTGTTTCTATAAATTTATTTTCTCTAACCATGCAATAAATAAATCGTACGGTATATAGTTCTTTGCATCTGGCTTCTTTCATTTAGCATATTTTCAAGGTTGAGAGTAAGTCCTAATGCATGTCCCTTGTGGAGTTTTAATGGAAGCCTGGGACATTTACCCAATGCCTCTAATTGGGTGGGTCATGAAGTCTAAACTCTGTGTTCCCTATGGTGAGTGGCCACTGAAACCAATGCACAGGTGTTTCAACTTTTCCAGCTATCACTCTCCTTCTGAGTTTCTTAGACTCTTATCCTGCACAAATACAGTTCAGAGGTTAACTAAGATTTTGAGGGAAGTTAATACACAGATTTGGAGGCTCCTATTACTCTGATTCCCTCCTTTTTGAGATTAGTTCTCTCAATGTCCAGCTACTGTGGTAGTCCACAAATACTCAGGCTACTAAGATCAGGGCTTTCTATTGGAGACCATTCTCCATGCCCTGGATTGGAGTGTGCCCCCCACCCCATCCAGGGAAAAACTGAATAATGAGGGTCTTACCCATTATCATTGCTTCTTTTAAGTGCTGAATAACTTCTCGATTCTGCCTCCTTTTGGACTTTCTCCAGTGACTTTGAACAGGCAATCTTTACATTTTGTCTAGAATATATAATTGTAGTTGGTAGGACAGTTAGTCTGAAATAAGATATTTCACCATTACCAGAGCCACTTTATGACAGATTTCATTAGTGTGAAAAATAAGAACTAAGAGGTTCAGAACTAATAATTAAGATATCATCACTTCAGGATTTGTGATAATTCAGGCAGAATTTTAGCCATAATTTCTTGAAGGAAATGAATATTATAAATATGATCACAAGAATAGTTCCTAAACTACCTACAGGGATAGAATCCTATATCCTTCTGGACATGGCACCTCTGAGTCATGGAGTTTAGCAAAACATCAAGACAGGACTGGGTGACCTTAAATTCTACGAGGGATGTAATGGATCACTTCCTGATGGAACTCATTTATGAAGAAACTAGTGGATCAGTGGATGTTCTTTGAATGTGGGAAGAAGAGGGTGGAGTTTAATTGAGCCTCAAAACTTAGCTGTTTTAGGTTTCCACTGCCTCTTCTTTGGTCTAATAGGACGGCCAGTTTCTCACATGTGTCATCTAGTTCATGCTTAGCTGCTCAAGCGGCAGCTACAAGCAGAGTTTCTGATTATCTCCTGCTGAACATGACCTGTTGGCCGTGGACATTTGTCACTTAGGCAGAACTTATGCCCCTGATGAGAAGTCACAGCTAAATGCTGCTCTGATTATCCAGTTGAAGATCTTTTATTGTATCCTAAACAGCCATCTAATTTAGTTGTGACAGAAGAGGACCAAAAAATAGAATATTTTTGAAGGATCAAAATAATTCCAATATACAAACCCATGAATTTACTCACAAAATAAGGTCTTACTGGAAATAGATATACTGATATTTTCACAGAGGTTACTTCCTGGTATTTGGTCTATGGGTGATTTTTATTCTCTTATTTGTACTTTTCTGGACTTTCTGTTTTCTCAAAAATAATAAAAATTACATTTGGACTCAGATTTTTACAGAATGAGGGATATGGTAGTCTGGCTGTCAGTGTCCTACTTTGAGCCAAGGCCCCCAGCCCTGCTTCAGAAAGCCATAAACCATCCCTCATGCCTAAGACCTTCCAAAAATTCAAACAGACCCAGAATTATAATTTTCCTCTGAAACCTGTCCAGCTACTCAGTTTCTTATAAATATCAAGAACCAAATATATATATCAAGAACCAGATATATAAATTTCCACTTAAATCCAACATGTGGTAGACATCTAATAAACATCTGATGAATAAATGCATGAAAGAATAAATGAATGAATGAATAACCTATTCGGTCAGAAGTTTGTCAATTACAAATTTCTGAAAGCTGAATATAAATGGGACATTAGTAATTACTATACCTGGAAGGATAAGGGCCAAGCTGTACTCAGGTATATTTTTCCTTAGCTTAGCCACCCATGATTTGGCTTCAGATTCCCTCTGGCTCCTCTACGGGTGTGCCGCCCAAATGTGACATTAGACGGCTCTGGGGTTACATTTTTCGAGCTTTTAATTCAAAGTAAAAGAAGAACTTTGCTTCACCTCCAATCTGGGAATTCCAGGTAAGTGTCTAACGGGACCACCGTGAGTCCTCACCCACCCTTATAGCCAGCATGGGTGGGCACTGTGACGGACAGCCACAAAACTAGGAAGAATCCCTCAGAGGAAGGGAGTGGGAGGCACAAATACCAGGAGAAGTAAGGAGGGAGACAGACTGAGCAGACAAAGCCAGCACAACCTCTAGAGAGAAGCATTATTAATAATGGAAATGGCAACAGTGATAATAACTGTGATTTATCATAGGCAGGTATCGCCGAAGCCCTTCACACCGTTTATCTCGAAGCCATTCCATAACCCTGCAGGTGCTAAGGATCAGAGCCATTAAGTGACCCAACCAGAAGCAAAGTAAATGATGGACAACCAAGAGGCAAACATGGACTATCATGGAAAGGGTACAAATGCATTGAGGTATTTTAAACTTAGACCTGCCCGCTGAGAGCATGCTTGACTGTTTTTGTTTTTTCAAAAAAGGGAAGAAAGTCATCCCTGAATAAAATTTAGGACTATGTTGCTGACATACATTTTAATTCATAAATTTATGCCTTCATTGTGACTCTGGCAACGAAACAGTCTAGCTTTTCATATGACTTAATTCTTTTTTTTTTAATTTTTTTATTGTTATGTTAATCCCCATACATTACATCATTAGTTTTAGATATAGTGTTCCATGATTCATTGTTTGTGCGTAACACCCAGTGCTCCATGCAGAATGTGCCCTCCTCAATACCCATCACCAGGCTAACCCATCCTCCCACCCCCTCCCCTCTAGAACCCTCAGTTTGTTTCTCAGAGTCCATCATCTCTCATGGTTCGTCTACCCTCCGATTTCCCCCCCTTCATTCTTCCCCTCCCGCTATCTTCTTTTTTTTTTTTCTTAACATATATTGCATTATTTGTTTCAGAGGTACAGATCTGAGATTCGACAGTCTTGCACAATTCACAGCGCTTACCAGAGCACATAATCTCCCCAGTGTCTATCACCCAGCCACCCCATCCCTCCCACCCCCCACCACTCCAGCTTAATTCTTTTTAAGTTAAGGTGATTCATTAATCATATAACTGAACAACTTGGTTTTTATAGTTTTAAAAAATATAAGTAACCTAATTTTTTTTCAAGCAAATCCAGAAATTAAGAAAAATCACTAAAGCAGGCATGTGCCCTCCTTTGGGGTTTGGGAACTGTTGACAATATATGACTTTCATTTAAAAAATATATGTCTGTACAAAGCCACTCGTAGAAAGGTAGTGTACACAGTGGTTCAGAGCGTGGGGTCTGGGGCCAGACCTGGCTTGGAATCCAGACCCTTAATGCTGTCTTATCAGCTGTGTGAACTTGGAGAGATTACCAAACTGTCCAGTGTCTTGGTCTCCTCCTATATGGAATGGAGATAGGAATGGGTCCTCTGTTATAGGGCTGTTGTGTGGATTACAGGGCTTCAGTCCATCAAAGGTGTTGGAGCAATGCCTGGCTAAAGAGATGGTAGCTCTTAATTTTATTAGTGCCCTGTTGCATTTGCATAGGGGCTTTTTGCGGGCTCTTTATAGTTAGTTGTTCTGCTTCTGGGCTTTTTGTTTGTTTGTTTGAGAGAGAGAGAGTGGGGGAAGGTCAGAGGGCGAGGGAGAGAGAGAAGGTTAAGTTGGCTCCACACCCCCAGTGCGGAGCCCCGAACAGGCTTGACCCCACCACCCTGAGATCATGTCCTGAGCCAAAATCAAGAGTCAGGTGCTCAACCAACTAAGCCACCCAGGCGCCTCTGGTTTTTATCACAGATGCACATCAGAGAGGAAATAGAGTTGCCCCCTCATTACAGAGGCCGTGTTTATTCCTCGATTCACAGCAGTGTCAGGGAAATCATCTCATGGGTCTGGGCTGCTGAAGGATTGAGTGTCCATACGAATATCAACTACCTGACTCTTTTGTAATCCACAGAGTTGAACTCTGTAATCGAGACTGATGATCAGCGAGAAGGTGAAAAGTTGCCTTGCGGCAAGGACACTACCAGTCTCAGGAGTGAGGGAAAAGAGGAGCCTGAGTATTCAGGCCAGAGCTCATACTGAATCCAAGAAATGAGGCGGCGACTCTGGAAGGAGGTCTCTTCCATCAAGAACCCGAAACACCAAAGTAAAATAATGTAAAAGGCACCCTTAAACTGACAACAAGTTTCAAAGCTGGAGGGTTGAATTTAAACGGCTTATTTTAAGTTAAGCATCTGAAAATATTGAAGTCTAAATCATGAAAAGTTACTCGTTAATTGCATCTGTGTTTGCTTGTCAGTTACTTATTGAGAAGATAAAGGCCGGTTCTTTCTTCAGCTTTGTCTTCCTGCGTTAGCTGAAAGTCCGCTGAGATCAGAGACTCAAGAGGAAATGGATAGATATAATGAAGCAAGACATATTTCTTCCTGTACTCTGGCAGCTTTTCCAGGCTGCCAATTTTGAGTAATATAAAGCATACGCAGGCAGGCAGTTAACTATATTAAGACGTACCTAGCACCAGAGGGAGTGGTGGGGAAGTTGAAACTCCCGCCAGAGAGCTAGTCTCTTGTTCCACCATGTGTTTAGGTATCAAGCTTATCCTCCCCCTGGTCTTAGTTTTAATGGGTTTTGATTTCCTTGTGCTCCCAAACCTTGAGGTGGAAATATGATCATCCTGAACATACTACTTACTTTTACCTGCGAACTTGAGCTTTATTGGCTTTAAAAAAAATCATGAACAAAAAAGCCAGGAAAAGATAAATTTGCATTTTGAAAAAGAAAAAAAAAATTGAACACATCTTTTGCTTTGAAATTTTTTCCCCTTGAGATGAATATCCATGCTTCATAAATATTCACTCAAGTCTGTTTTGACAATCGGCCTATATGAAGAAGATTCTAAAACACAACCTGGAAGTTTTAAATGTCTTCTTCTTCTTCTTTTTTTAAAGATTTATTTATTTCTTAGAAAGAGAGACAGAGCATGAGCAGGAGGGGCAGAGAGAGAATCTCAAGCAGACTCCATGCTGAGCACGGAGCCCAATGTGGGGCTCAATCTCTTGACCCTGAGCTGAAACCAAGAGTCAGTGGCCTGGCTGACTGCACCACCCAGGCGCCCCATGGAAGTTTTAAATATCTTCTATGAATGAAAAGGCTTCACTGTTCTCAGAGCATCCACAAATATACCTTTGAATTTTTTCACTTTTCTTTTTCTTTAACCTGGTCTGAGCCCTACCTCTTTCCCACTCCCAAGAAATAGAGTTCATCCAACATTCCAAATGTTCATGGCATTGAACTGGGGGCTTGGATGGAGGTAAATGAAGGAAGGGAAATCTCTTCTGCTTGTGGAGTTCACATTCTAAGATTGAAAAATCTTAGTTTCTAAAAGAAACCACTGCTCAAGATATTAGTTAAAAGAATTTTGGAAGATTCTTGGGAGGGGTCAGTATAACTTAGGGTTCTATGAAAATATTCCAACAATAAAATTTTAGATTTAAAGAGCTATAAATATCAGGTTGGACCATGTTCACATCTTTTTTTAAGCTTATCATCGATTTTTTTTTTTTCCCTGTCTCATTTCTTCCAAACATGAAAAATCATGACTTAGGCTTCTGATGGGTTAAAAATATATTCTGACTAACATTTAGCCCTGAATTCCACCACATGCTCTTATATGAATAATGCCACCTCATCCCAAATTGAAGCATGGGAAATTTGCAATTTGCTCAAAGGATTGTAAATGAGCCTGTTGTCAAGCTGCCAAAGTAAATTAACAAGATTTAAATTTTTCTGTAATATCAATCAGAAATTCCAATGACTAGTAATTAAAGCAGTCCTTGCTCTCTTGTGACTCATGCAGTGTGACAAAACAGTCCTAATGTGTCACCTCTCTCCTTCTGCCTGTTTGATTATGTTGAGTTGGGCACCAGGTGGCTTATCCTGTAGGGTGTCTTACAGTCTATTAAATTCTAAATGTGAAATAGAAATAAAACTCAATAAATATTTTATGGTATGGGTGAGTATATATTCCTCGAAGCCATCCTGTACCCTTGAGTTTTATGCCAACAGCCTTTTCTATAATAAAATAGTTTATCATTACAGAAAAAAATTTTTAAATGCACAAGAGGGAAAAACTATCCACCATCCATTGCCCAGAGATAATCACTTTTAATAATATTTTTGTGTATTTGGGCCCAGAGATTTTGCTATATATTCAGAAATAATTGTGATCATATGACCTATACATCATACAAATTGACTTTAAATCATCTTTTTTGGATTATAAAAGTGATATGGTAACATTACTGAACATTTGGAAAATAAAGAAAAGAAGATAAAAGTAACTAGAATCCCACCCAGCGATAACCACTATCAATATTTTACTTCTAATTATAATCTTTTTCCTTTGCATATTCATATATACTTAAAGGTACACAATAGTGATTTTTTGGCATAATGAGCAGAAGAATATTTCAAATGATTTTTTTTTTGCAAGATTTTATTTATTTATTTGAGAGAGAGAATGAGATAGAGCATGAGAGGGGGGAGGGTCAGAGGGAGAAGCAGACTCCCTGCTGAGCAGGGAGCCCGATGCGGGACTCCATCCCAGGACTCCAGAATCATGACCTGAGCCAAAGGCAGTCGCTTAACGAACTGAGCCACCCAGGTGCCCTATTTCAAATGATTTTGATGGATGATGTGATGCAGAGTGGCAAGTGACAGTGTGTTTACTTATCTTTCATAGAAAAACTTAGTAATTCAGGTCATTAAAAATGAATTTTAAAGAAATAAAAAATAAGGTTTTGGGTTACTTGACTAAGAAACTAGGACCTACTTTTTTTTCCAGGAAACTGATTGTGTATGTTGAAGGCAGGGGAAACAAGAAAATTCTGGCCTGGGGGCTTCTCCCTGTCCGGTGCCATAACTACATGAAAGAATTTAGCCTCCGTTAGCAAGAACTGGAACCTGACTTCCATAGGTAGTCTTTTAAATGGTCATCAAACACAGCAAATGAAGGATTCCAGCTGAACTCGGGGGTGAAGGATGCAGCTCAAGAAGCACATTTTCTGGAATTATGGAAAACACACAAACAAACCCAGAAGCACAAGAGAAATATTTGAGAAAGGTCTAACTCTATAAAGACTTGTTGCCAGGCTATCGAATGCTTCTGACAACACATATTCAATTGCATTTCTAAGTTTGGAACTCAAACTATGTAAGTTAAGTCTCAAGAACTCTTTTATATAGTTGGACTATTACGGAGTTTTCTATTAAGTATTTTTTTCCAAGAGAGGTACACGTGTAGACTTTTGGGGGCATTTTCGTACCTGAGAATGTCTTTGTGGATGTTCCTGAGTCATAATCCTGTCCTTGTAAATTCCATAGACATTTCTCCAACGTGTTTTGCCAATTGGGGTTGCTGGGGAGACATCATAAATCAGCTTTTTTGGGGTGTATTTGTAAACAATTGGTAATTCCCACTTGATCTCTTGTTAATTTTTTTCTTCCTTATTTTTCAGTCTTGGCCCATTAAACTGTCATTTGGATTCTGATATTGAAAATAAAGAACTGGCTTGCCTTTCAATCCCAAAGCATTCATTAGGGATTTGTATACAACAAGACTATATATGCAACAAGATACCATGTTATCCATATATGCACATAAACACATGGGTTCTCATGTCCAGATAGGACAGCCTCACCAACCCTCAACCGAACAGCTTCAATATGCTGTTTCAAAGACAGGCATCACGGGGCGCCTGGGTGGCTCAGTCGTTAAGCGTCTGCCTTCGGCTCGGGTCATGATCCTGGAGTCCCTGGATCGAGTCCCGCATCGGGCTCTCTGCTCGGCGAGGAGCCTGCTTCTCCCTCTGACCCTCCCCTCTCTCATGTGCTCTCTCTCTCTCATTCTCAAAAAAAAAAAAAAGAAAAAAGAAAAAAGAAAATGGTCCTATCAAGGGGCATCTGGGTGGCTCAGTCGTTAAGCGTCTGCCTTCGGCTCGGGTCATGATCCCAGGGTCCTGGGCTCGAGCCCCGCATCGGGCTCCCTGCTCTGTGGGAAGCCTGCTTCTCCCTCTCCCACTGCCCCCTGCTTGTGTTACCTCTCTCTCTCTGTCTCTGTCAAATAAATAAAATCTTTAAAAAAAAAAAAAAAGACAGGCATCGCTTATATCAGTGGCCTCTGGCTGGGGTGGGTGTTCTGGGCCATGGGGAGACTGAAGTGAAAGTTTCAGGATTAGTCTTTGTGACTGAATGTTTCATCTGTTGGTTGGTAGAATTCATGCCAAGATTGAGAGGAGTATTTTGCAATGAAGTCCCGACTCATCAGAGAAGGAGAAACACCTGGCTTGGAATCTGTTACTGTCCAAAATGAATTCTTGAACATGACAAGTAAAGCAGCAGCTGAGTGTGTGGGGTGAACGGTTGAGGACTACAAACAACTTGGTCTAATTACATGGCGGTAATTGAATTTTCTACTTGGGATATAACACCATCACTTAATTGATTTAGCTTGTATCTCAGTAAACTCCCTTCATCTTCATATTGAAGTTATTTTATCAATTTCAGAAGAAATTCTTTAGTTGTGCTGTACTGCTGTTAATATAGCTATTTTTTTCTCAGGAACAAAATACAATCCTTAAGAAGTATCTTATTTTTGGGACGCCTGGGTGGCTCAGTCAGTTAAGCGTCTGCCTTCGGCTCAGGTCATGATCTCAGGGTCCTGGCATTGAGTTCCACATCGGGCTCCCTGCTCAGTGGGGAGCCTGCTTCTCCCTCTCCCTCTGCTTGTGCTCTCTCTGTCAAATAAATAAAATCTTAAAAAAAAAAAATCTTATTTTTAGGTTCTGAATAACTGTTATCCTCTAATTAAAAAAAAAAAATCTCTTTCTCCCTTTCCTTTGCAATCTGGGAGAGCTCAAGTTGGTTTTCCGTATCACTGGCTCACTTTTCTGCTGTGTGCATTCTGTTTTTTACTACCAGAAAAGCACCTTTCAGTTCTGTCTTAGGTGGCTAAACCAAAATACCACAGAACTGGTGGCTTATAAACAACAGAAATTTATTGCTCATGGTTCTGGAGGCTGTAAGTCAGCTGAGGGCCTCCTCCTGGGTCACAGACTTCTTATTGTGTCCTCCAGGGCAGAAGGATCAGGGGAGATCTATGAGATCTCTCATAAGGGCACTAACCCCATTTGTAAGGGCCCCACCC